GACCACTTACTAATATTCAAAGACAGCCCCATCTGTCTTGGCCGAAGGCTCTGAAAATAGCCAACCCACAATTCTAAACCTTCAGTTAGGGAACGAGGATCTCCCAACGATCTATCGAAAAATGAATCTCCCACTAATTCGTATCTACAATTGAAAGAATTCAGTTTAGACCTATATATTATCATTTACTATCATTCAAAAGTAAATGAAACGAATAAGAAAAATGAAGGAATTATACGTGGCTAATGGTGGTGTTTGAAGCACCACATTCAGAGCTTTTATAGCTTCTTGTGGATAGTCCGTTCTTGACCTTTCTATGAACTGATTCAAACTGGTTATATCAACTTCTCTAATAAACTTGAAAGAGACTTTGTATTCCATTAACCACCTGAAAAACAAAAAACAGCCCAAAGGTATTCATATTGTAGTGTTTAAGAACTCAAACACCAAAATCAAACTTACTCTTTTCCACCATTAGTTCCAGTAAGCTTGACATCAAAGTCTTCAGACTCAAATGGAAGCCGCTTAGAAGTGTAAACACAGCTTTTACCATCATATGCTAATTTGTGTTGATTCAAGAGATGCTTAGAGTCCACATAGAGCTGGAGTATAACTTTTGTTGACCATTTCTTTGACCAAATCGCGGGAGAGAATTTCACCTGAAAGTCAAAATTTAAAAGTTGTTTAATAACTGGAGAATTCGACATGCAGCATTGAAGGATGGAGTAACAAGATAAAAATTGAAGCAAGTGGAGCTCACAAAAAGTATGAACTCTTATTCACCAAAAGCTATGACAAACTCTAATATTGGTCCATGATAACACATCTGCTTTTCATTAAAAGACCCTAATACAATGACATACACACATGCTAAACATATAGAGGCTCGCATACAGACTAATAAATATCGATGCACATTTCATATTATCCAAAATACAGAGACACAAAGACACTTCAATGCTATATACCTTGACACAACAAAAATATGGTGTTCCAATTTTATTTACACACACAGATTCATTGACAAAAAATACCGTCATACAAATGCCATATACATATATTACACATAACAGAACTCTAGAAGGATATACAAAAATAAAAAAATATATACACAGAGACACAAAAACATACAAATGACTTACGCTGACTTACACACATGTAATAGTACTCACAAAAACATAAAAAAATGACTTACACAAATGAATCAGGACTTACTTCGTAGAAATACATTTTAACCTCCTTTTGCAGCTGAGTGCAAAGAAGATTAGCTCTCACTTTACAAGGAACTCCACTTTTACCGTACCCTGGTCTCCTCGGAAGCTTTGACGGCGACTCATCAGTTTTTATAGGCGTCTTATCAGTTTGTACAGGCGTCTTATCAGTTTTTACAGGCGACTGAACTGCTTTTGACGGCGACTGATCAGTTTTTGACGCCGAGCTTTTCTTCCCTTGGACAAGTACATGCGCATAAGACGGCCCCTCCTTCGAAAACATTGTAAGGAAAAGCCTTCTGAAACGCCGGAAACGCCTAGAGAAAGGAAAAAGGAAATAGGGAGAGCGGAGAGAGAGAGAAAAGGTGGAATGTAGGGGGAAAAGCTGCAACTTAAAAAGAAGTTGGGATTGGTGTGTCTATATATATATATATACATGTATTTGCACGTGGAGAGAAGAGAGAGAAAAGGTGGAATGTAGGGGAAAAGCTGCAACTTAAAAAGGATTTGAAACGCAATTTCTTTCTTACTTAGGGAATAAGCAGCCCCCAATAGTTCTTCATTTTTTATTGGAATATCGTCTAGTCCAATTTACTTTAATAAAAACATTTCTTATTCTTGGCAACTAAATGTTATAGTAGTCATTTATAGTAGGCTTTTAGTCCATGATGGAGTTGGACTATGTTATAGTAGTTTTGCATGCTTTCTCATTCTTCCTTTCCTTAATTGTGCAAGAAGTTATTGCTAATTAGTATAGTATTGTAACAACAACACTAAGCAGTGGCTTGTCCATGCAACACTAAGCAGTAGTTTTGCATGCTTTCTCATTCTTTCTTTCCTTAATTAGTATTGTAACAACAACACTAAGGAATAACGAGTATAGTGGCTTGTCCCAAGCAGAAAACAAACTTTATTAAACCCATGAATAGTACCGAAAAGAGTATATCAAAATGCTAAAGGAAGCAAATTAATCAAGAAAAGCAAATAGAGAAAACTCATGAAAAGAACACACTATGGTGAAATTTCCTTAGCTAAGTCTTGAAAAAACATACTAGAAATTGCAGATAACAAACATTAACTGTTAATTCCAACTCGTTTGATTACATGAAATAACACTAAATTATGGAATATTTATTTGTTACTCTTTTTAATCAAGCAGGCAGCGTGCTTAGAGATCTAGCTTTAACTATTCCAAACTATTTTCTTCCTTGTCACCATAATCATATATGATCGTCCATGCTTATCTTTTTTCGGAACCACTATATTATGACTTTGCTAGAACAAATAAAATCACCAAACCAGATCACGTAACACTTTAAATTGGAAACATTGATGAGCAAAGGCAGATTAAGGATTTTAATTTGATGGGGTTCAATCTCTATGTATTTATTATTGAACTCATTATACAATTAACATTATAGGTTCAAAACGTGGTATTTATATATATATATATATATATATATATATATATCAAATAAGTATTAAATATTATTTATTTAAAAGCTATTTATATAAAGGGTGATAAAAACCGACTGACTTCGGTCGGTAATATTATTAAATTTATATTTTAATTATTTTAAAATTATTTTTTCGACCGAACTCGGTCGGAAATATTTAATTATAACTTATTCCGGTTGGTTAATTAAATATATATAATTTTTGTTATATTAAAACCAATTTTCTTAGGCGGGAAATAATAATTTCAAATTTTCCGACCGAATTCTGCCGGAAATTTGGAAAAATTATTTTTGTACATTATATACAAGTATGACAAGGTGTTGGTCAAATATTGACCAATTTCCGACTGAAATCGGTCGAAATTTTTATTTTTTTTGCTGTAGGACCACTATTTCCGTTGTCAGAAATATTTTTGTTGACTTTTGCGACCAATTTAGCAATTTTCGATCGATTTCGGTCGGGTTTTTTTTCGAGCGATTTCATTCGATATGCCTTGGACGAAATATGCTAGTTTTCTAGTAGCGTCGGTTAAACCCGTACTCGGATAGCTACATCCGGCCCCTGTTGTTGATCAGCCAAATTTAATTCCACTATGCACCGTATTTCCAACCAAACTCATAACTCAACCAAAATCTTTCTCCCCGTGAATATTACACCTCAAGATCACATGCTCTAGAATATTCAAACAAATAGGACGCAATATTAACCTATTGCAATATAGGAGTATATCTTTGCAATTATCGAAATGACAAATACTAAGAATAAAGACAGAGAATCCATCACGATTAACAACACCCAGAAGAAAATTTACAAGGGAGAAAGAAATGAAGAATATGTTGAGGTTTTATTTTAAGATGTAATATTCTTAAAATGAGGGTGAATGGGAAATGGAGG